ATGTAATAGCTACTACCTACTAGTAGGTAGTTGACAGGCGGAGAGAGAACAGAATTCTTTAGGTACAGGCTAGGCAGTTAAACGGGCAAAAGACGATGCGATTTCTTGTACATCCGATGATGATCGAGGTCATTGATTGACGCCCACAAAAAGTAAAACAGCCGGTGGAGGCAAAAGTAAATGCGCTGCGTAATCTGGGAATCGAACCCAGGGCTCCCCGACGTTGCGGATGGCAACGGAGAATTTTACCACTAAACCAATTACGCGGGTTTCTCATTGGAAGACGACGTCCTAATGCTTGAATATGGGTATTTCGGAGACGGAATGCTGAAACAACTGGAGCAATCGATGCATCGCCTTCAGAATCCAGCTTCCAAGTTATGAAAAGTAAATATCAATCAAGTATCAGTCACTTCGTATGCTTTCTATCCAGTCCATCAATTAATCACCAACGATACTCTACACAATCGATCCTCGCCCCAGCTTCAGCTGTATATCAGAGAGTCAAACGCCTTGCTCCTCGCACTCCTCGACCTGAGCCTCAACGCCCTGCTCATCCCACACTGCCTCTATCACGCTCATTTTGCAATTTTCTACCCTGTGTACTCCCTAAAGAAATATCAGTAGCTGCAAAATCCTTTAGGATCGAAGATACGAGCTAGCATACCTTGAATTGGAATCTGGGGTCAGCTGCCTTGAATAGCTCGCAAAACTCTCTTTCCTCTCGTTCCTGCGCGTTGAGGAGAGTACCCATGATCATATCCATGCTTCTCAACAGCTTTTCATCCCACGGATTCTCTGAGCCTGGGCCTCGTATGCAATAATCATTGATGATGACCCGAGCGCCGGGCTTTAGAGCAGGGATGAGATTCTTCAAAATCGAAACGGCATAAGGGCTTGAATAGTTGTGGAAAATCCACCGAAAGTAGTATACTAGCATTATTTCCAAGTCAGCAACAATATGATAGAACTAGAAGTAGACGACTAGTGAGAAGCAACTTACTATCAGCACCTTTGACAGGTTGCTCCGTGAAGAAGTCGTGGGCTTGCAAGGAGATTCTCTCTGCCACGGTTGCATCCTCGTAAATAGGCCTCGGGGCCGTATTTATCGTTTTGGACAAATCTTGCACGATGAACTTCATGTTCTTCCACTTTTTGGCCAGTTCTACAGCCACGAAGCCATGGCTGCCCCCGACATCAACGAGCGTACCCCCGCGCTCATTTACCTCGGAGAGGTCATAGTTATCTACAAAATAGCTAATTTCATAACCCTCTCCGCTGGTGAAGCTGAGCATCGCATTAGCAAAGCGCTTGGCCTTGACTGGATCCTTACCCAGAGTCTCAAACATGGGCTCTTCTCCAACCGTGCTGAAAGCAAAGTTGAATCCTGTGTGAGTCAAGGAGGTTGCCTCGGGGTGAGATTTCAATGCCTGCATAACATGGCCAGCGGCAGGGAAAATATCTTCTGAATTGAAGCCAATCCAGGCTTGAAGCGAGGCGTCCTGTGCCAGGAGACGCGAATTCGCAGTATGGGCAATGAGACCTGGAGATGGCTCGCAGAATATATTGTTAGTCATCGCATGCCGTAACGCACGAGCAAGGTTGATAGGTTCCAACGGAGTCTTAGATTGAAGTTCGGTTAATTCGATGGGAGCGTCCAACGGAACGAGTTTGGCTGCACAATAGTTAGTCAGATCAAAAATCAACGTTCATTCAGTCGTACCAATTTGATAGCTGTTAATTAGCTGTAGGCTCAAGGTGTCCAAGTACTGTCGAGTCAAGTTAGCACAGTGGCGAAACCGGAACAGAGGCAGAACTTACACTCCAAACATCATATCTGACGCTTTCTCGAGGGCCCCTGACGAGGTTTGTAAGCTCTTTGGTAGCGAAAACAATCTTTTGACGGCTCTTTTGTATCTCATCGGGTAAAAGAGGGAAATCGTCTGGTCCATCGACGCTGAGACTCGGCTGAGCGATACCATTCGACTTGAGGTACGTCTGCAGCTTCTCGGTTTCAACGCGGATAGTTTCTGCCAGCACAAGCATTCGAGAGTCGGCAGATTCTACTTTGATGACTTCACTCTGATCTTCTTCTTTCTTTTGTAAAGACGCTTCTTTCGGTCTTGCAGGAGAGAAGCCAGGAAACGAAAGCCGATTGAGTCGCTTTTTGTCAATTTCCATGCTGGCTGTAGACGGGCTGCGCTCGGAGAACAGCCACGATGGGACTCTAAGCTTTGCCATCATGATGTCAAATGGAGGGCTGTAAGGCGCAAAGTTAGAAAACGAGATGAATTTCAGCATGAAACAAAAGGAAAGAACAGAGATGTCCAAGTGAAAATGATGAGGAGACAACAGCAAGAAGAGAAATGGTCAGTAAAGCCATGACTCCGTTTGCTAGACACTTGGCAACGAAGGATCATGGCCAACATTGAGGCTAAGTGAACAGGCCAAGGCCCGTGCTCACGAAACAAAAAGATCAGACGATGATCCATCCTTTTGCAAACTTGCAAGAAAAGTCACCGGCATGTGGGCAAGTTCGACAACGGAGAAGAATCGGAGTCTCATGGAGCGAGTGCCCAGCTGAGTACCTCTAGCACCTTCAAGTCTCACAATCAGGTGCCAATTGTGACATCTCTAGCCATGTACAGGAGAGTTTCATTTTCTTTCCTCTCCTTTATATGTAAAACATCCGGGATGGTCCAGGTTGTGATGGCATGCCCGCTGGAGCATCCTCGCAATAACCTCAAGGGTCAACAGACAAAAAGAGATGTTTCCAAGAAAGAAATTTGGAACAGATAAGATACCATGTAAAGGGAAAAGATAAAAGGAATTGCACATACAATGAGGCAAAGTCTGCCTGAGGCTGCCTTCGCAGACGATGTCTCTGGAAGTAGAAAGAGCTCGGCGAGGCCCCTCGTGCGTAAGGGAAGCAGCGATATGATGAGTCGGATTCAAAGTATTTCCGTTTCGAGTCTCTCTTAAGCGCAGGTCTTTTCTTCTCTGCTTATTTTCCTGCTCGCACCAGCCAGAGTTGTCTTTTCAACTGTTGGCTGTTGTCGATGCCGCCGCCGTTTATCTTATAACAAACGCCCAGTTGTCAGGTGAGAAACACAGATTGAGCAACTGGTTACGGCTGCAGTGGGGAAGAAAGAGAGAGAGAGGAGAGCGGAGGAGAAAGAAGAAGAAGAGGCCAATGGACAGCTTTCAAGACACGGAGACTCGCAGCAATTAAACTAACTCCGACCCCAGAATGCACAGCTGCAGCTGTTTGCACTGACACTACGAGCACCAACATATTCCGTCCCAGTAGCCGACACTCTCCGCATCTACGCCTCCGTACTCGTACTATAAGCCTGGGTCGATCGATGCAAGAGCCGGAGGCTGACAGAACCCTGGTCAGGCATGGTGTCCCAATCCGCCATCCCCGACAGACTAGAGCGGCATCAGTCTCCAGAATTACGGAGCATCCAACCGAGAGTGGTGGTGCTCTGAGGGTGCATTCGGGTGCCAAGTACCCGTTTCCAATGCCAGTCATGTCTCGTGCAGAGCCCGGGTTATCTAGTAGATAGCTAATCGCCGTCAGCGAGATCAGATCACGACCCTGTAGGAAAGTATATCCCGAGGTTCCGTTTCGAGCAACGTCAGAATCAACGAAGAGACCACGATCTTCAGACTATGACAAATTTCAGCTGTTGGAGATGTGATTGTCCCGAGAATGGCAGGGGTAAGCTGCGAGTATCGTGCAACGAGTTCTGCACTACTCAAGCTAAGGCGGCATGACTTGAAACCATGATGGCTTAGAGCCAACAATGCGGTTGTTGGATATCCAGCTCTTCTTCTCTCCACAAATCGACTCCCCATCGTGCCCTGTCCTTCGAGCTGATACGTTCTTACATTAGCCGCAAACATCAAGGCGCGGACCGCACGCCACCCCCGGCTGGCTTGTACGTCGGCCATCTCCTGTATCACCTGGCAAAGATGGCTTTGTGCTACTACGATTAATGATCAGGCACCACCTTCTCATAAATTGACAGGACAGCGGCAAACATCTCCATCAGGATCCTCCACTATCGGGACTCTCTGAACTAGAGTGATATTCGGCGTCTTGGACGGAACACATGTCATTTTTTGGGAGGCATCAGGCCAGCCGTCTCCTGCCGCTTTTTCAGCTTTCGCTCAGCCCTTGCGTCCGCAAACTTGACCGTCTGCCGTCCAGCTTGAGATATCGCCGGGAAACCCTGGTCAGAAACGCCACCGGGAGCTGGTCCCCAGCGCCACTGCCCAAGGGGGAGGTGCGGCAGGCAGGTGAGGCCATTTGTGAGACTGTTTGCTGTCACTGCTTGCTGCCACCGCGTCTTCTGATATGGGGGAAGTGCTGTGTGATACAAGTACATGGATGGATACAGCACTCCCAGAGCGGCCAGACGTGCAGCTCCATATTGCGCCGGACGCTAAAAACTGCGGCCGAGACGCCGTCTTGGCCGCAAAGGTCTCGGACGTGTAAGTCTTTGGGTGGATCGCGAGCGGGTGATCTCGTTGGCCAATTCGTATATCACGGGCTGCGCTTAGTGGTGGCTCTCCCTCCAGCCATCCCTGACTTCATGCGGTATCAGACTGAACCACATTTCACCGCTTGGTTGCAGAGCTGTCACTTTCTCTTTCTTTCTTTTTCTAATGGCTTCCTTTGTGAAGAGTATGTTCACTGTTGTGCCAACATATGGAGGAATAAAACAAAGCAGAGAAGGGGGGGCATACAGAGCACAATCTATGTGTATTGCATTGTCTTATTGTAATTAACCCTTTTCACCTAGTTGTCTGTACTAACGGCCTGAGCCGAGCTTTGAATAAACTCCATCCCATCGAAGAAGAATATGTAATTAAACCATCATAAAACAACACCCGCAGTGGGGTAGTACAGGCACTTTCAAATATTAATCCAAGACCTGGGACTATACTGTCTTGCCAAAATTCAAGACAAATGATGTATCTACACCGCACTACTACGGCCTCTGCCCGTATATGACGTGGAACGGCATGTACATGAGCTGGGAATTGTCAAAGTAGGCCCGCCGAACCTCGATCAGGAGCAACTCGACCTGATCTCGGTTCCACCCCAGGCCCCGAGTCAAGGGGCCCAGGGCAATGGCCTGCAGGCCGTCCAGGAGAATGGTCCGCCAGTAGAGGCCGACCGTCTTGAGGACCTTGTTCTTGGGCCAAGTGCCGATGGGCACATGGAGCACGCGTTCCGTGACGTTGGTGAAGCCTGCTTGCTGCATCTTGTCGGCTAGTCGTCCATCGGATACGGCATCCATATCGATGCCCAGGGCGGCTAGGCCGTCCGTCACATGCTTCCAAAAGCGGGCGACGGGGTGATCCGGGGACAATTCACCGTTTCCACCCGTAAGGGCGCTTCTGGGGGTGTGGTGGACTTCCTGGAGCTCCATCCAGCCGCCGATCTTGAGATGCCTGATGGCGTCGTCGGTCAGTACATGTACTCGTAGCCATCACGGTGGGAGAGTGGGGGAGGTTAGATTTACTCTATGGCTCTTCGGAAGAGCTTCATCCAATCTCGGATTGCCATGACGGTGTGCCTTGAGTGAATGTAGTCGAAATGGTTTCGAGAATGTAGCCACGGCGATTCCACATCGTCTATCATGAATCGAACGTTGGGCGGCAGCCAATCTGGCTGGATGGGCGAAAGGTCGATTCCCAGGATGTGGGCACTGGGGAATCTGTCTCCCACTAGTTGATACGGGCGTTAATGTAAACCGAAGAGCAAAAGGTGGTGAGGGCGGCTACTTACTCTCAATCGTCCAAATGCCCGTGCCCGTTCCTATATCGAGAATCTCTTGGGGGTTGGCGCCAATGGGGGCAAAGTGCAATTTCTGATTGCACAGGAGTTTGACCATGGCGTGTTTCATGTCTTCCCTCTCCTGCTCGACGTCTTCATTGGGGAAGTTGTAGCTGCCCTCGCGGAACCGATGGTAGCGGCGGCCATTCTCAAACATGTAGTCGCGGACCGAGGACATGGCAGACGTGCTGGCCGAGCTGACACTGTCGCTGTCATAGCCGGCATCAGATGATGTGTCGTCAGCTCCACCATCGGTGCTCTCTGCAATATCGGCGATGATGGACTCCTCGGCTTGGTCAAGAGCTTCGAGAGATAATTGTTCTTGTTCGGAAGTAGACAGCTCGGGAAATATCGAGACGCCATTCGGATGGGCTAAAGGAGCTACTGTGGACTCTGGCCTAGCAGCATTTCCCAACGGGGTGAACACTCCATCAGCTTGCTGTTGCTCGTTTTTCTTGGTAAGATTGAGCGGCGGGATGATGATCTCGCCGTGAGCATCTTGGTAGGTTTGCCCATGCGGTTCGTCTGCCAGCCCTTGCTGAGTGTCGTGTAGTTGCAAGGGCGGCAGTTTATAGTCAAGTGGATTATTGACTTGTAAATGAGCATGATGCTGCGGTTCATATTCGCCACGTGAAGTATCACCAGTGCTGTTGCTAATGGTGGTATGGTTCACGCTTGAAGAGCTGGCCGAGTGACCATCAGTACTCGTCGTGCCATTGCCGGTACAGGAGTCTGGTATTTGATGAGGCGGAGCTTCCAAGGTATCTTGTAAATACCGATCCATGGCGAAGTGAGATGAAGCAGAAGAGTATTTCATGGCTTCAATTCTCCGATGTGAGATGGTAGAGAGGAGATGGATAAATAAGCGGCCGGAGGCGTTCCAAGAAATGTGAGTGTCTCCAGGCGGCGGAATCAAGTCACGGACGGTACGCAAGAGCAAGTATTTATCTCCCGGCCGGCAGACACAGCGCTCGTTGGGCAAAATACGTATCTTGTCGTCATTCGGGAAACTGGAGGCCGCAATGTCTCGGGGAACCAATTATGCTGGTCTCACACAGGCGCGGATTGGCCTGCTGCCTTTTTGGAGAGACGAGATGGAGATTGGCTGCGAGGGTTCCAGGGGAGGAGATCAAGGACAGACTGTATGGCAGGACAGAACAGAGTTGGTGTAGGTGAAAATCGTAGAGGAAGAGAGGTGCCTAAACTATTGGATCTCTGATTGATTCAAAGAATGATCGAAGTATGAGAGAAGTGTCGAGGGCGAGATACACGCAGTGGGGGAAGCTGGAATGAGGATCGAAGAGTTTAACTGCATTAGCATTTGACGGAGGGATCTAGCCAAGGCCGCTAGGGGACTAGAAAGGACAGGGCCTGATATAGTCGCCGTTCACGCAAGCAATGCCAGCTGAAGGCTTCGAGACATGCAGCTCGAGGGGCGTGGGGCAGAGCAGGTAGGGGGGGGGGGGGACGCCACCGGTTTGATGGCTCGTGGATTGGATGCGTCACACTCAGATTTGATCGGTGATCCGTGCAAGTTGAGGCAAAGCAGCGGCCAACGGCTGGAAAGCAGGGGACGGTGAGGGATTGCCTGTCATTTGATGTATTTGTTATGTCAATGGTGATTCGTAATAGTGCTACAGGGCCAACGGACAGTCGGGGGATGCGCGAGCCAACCAACGATTCGATTCGTCTGGTCTAACACGGGAAGCACATGCATACAACTGTACGCACGGTTCATACTTGGACTGTCCACTCATTCGCTCATTCACGGTGTGTATTGAGCAGCCAACCAGGTGCGGTGGCTGTTGCTCGTATGTACCTGCAGAAGCTCGACAAGATCTCGTTGGAAGGCATCTTGATCCGAATGCATGAAATAATGGAACCTCCAGAAGATGCTCCTCTCCAACTGGCACTTGGTTTTAGCGGTTGGCGGGGGATTTTCAGTAGCGGCGGGTTTGTCTCCAGCTGAGCCGGCAGCCGCCGCTCATTGAACTAAAACCTTGACCCTAGTGATTTAGTGAGTGAGTGAGCGAGTGAGCTGAATGAGTGAGCAGCAAGATAACCTGAACCCTTGATATCAATTGAAGTGAGTAAGTCAACTCACCCCATCTCATCTCATCCCCTCACTTCCACCGTACATCTCACTCCAATTACCCTATATAACAAGGCCGATTACATCAAAGATAGGTATCAAAAGTTTTTTTTTTTCTTTTTTCTCAGCTGAATATTTTTTTTATCAACACATGAGATGGGGTTCTTTTTAACTCCGACATTTCTGCCGAATACACAAGAATAACACCGTCGTAGGCTCTACAACCCACTTTTTTTTTCCCTCGGACATTGGCACATGTAGTCTAAATGCTCGAGTCCATCATATCAACATCCAGCTCATGATTTTCCCACTCTCCAAGCGTAATATCCCAGTGCAGCTCATCTCGTATCAGTCGCCTCACTGGTAGATTAAATCATCCACCTTCATGTCACGCACTCCGAAAACGCCTCGCTGCGTTGGCAGCCCGTCCTTCGCCCCAGATGAAGTCATCGAGGATGCTCCAAGACTCCAGCAAGCCCGCGAGCTGTTGGCAGCAAACGACCTATACAACGCCAGCCGCGCCCTGCTAAGCCTTCCCGAGAGAGACTCCTTTACGTATCATGCCATGACAAGTGTCAAGCTGGCCGAGGTGCAGCACGTTGTCGGACTGGGCGGCGTCAATGGTCTGCACGCTTGGTATCGTGACGAGGATGGCACAGCTGTAAGCCTCAATACCTTGCCCTTTTCACTCCCTTGCACAGGTCAGGTCATGGAACGAGAACTGTAACTGAAAGCAAAGACTCGCAGAGGGAGCCGCCGCCGCTACCAGACATCGAGGCGTACATCTCCATCTTCAGTCCCTCAACGGCCACGGCGTCTGCTCTCAAGAACTTTGAGACCAACGCAAAGAAGACGTCGATCCGGTCCGAGGCCGCGCGGCACTTGGCGGAGAAGCGCTACGTGCACCCGGCATTGGCCTCACAGCTAACCATTCCAAAGGCCAAGCAGCCGCCCAGCCAGAACCCGTACTTTGACTTCTGGGCCTGGTCGTGCCGCAATCTAGAGTGGTGCGGGCCGTGCGCTTCATCTGAGCGGGTGGCAACGAGCCACCATGTGCTCCCTATTTTCATGCACCACTTTGGCTGTGCAACGCCATCACACGAGAGCCTGCAAGTGTTGAGACTGCTGGCGGATGGCCGAGCCGTGGCGGATATGGGCTCGGGTAACGGGTACTGGACGTTTCTGCTTCGGCGGTACGGCCTGACGGTCTATCCGGTGGATAACATGCAGAGCGAGTGGAGGGTCAATTGGGTCGACGACACCGTCATCATGGACGGCGTCCAGTGGCTACGAACAGGGTTGTAAATTAGTATTTAGTATTTAGTTACTAATTTAGTATTAGTATTAGTATTTAGTATTTTTAGTATTAGTTACTAAAAAATTAG